GACAGACATGAAACACACAACTCACAAATGGGAATTGACTCCCAGTGGTGACAAAGGCTATAAGAGAGGGTACAGGATGCCCAGGGAGGCTGGGGCAGGGAAAGAGGAGAGAATAGGAAGAATGAACCACATGTAATGAGCAAAGAAAAGAAGAGTATAACACTAGCCTGAAAAAGTGGATGGAGACATGTGTGTGTGTGTTGGCGGGGGGGGAATGAATTTCCCTCCATTCTTCTGAGTTCTTGACTAAGAGCCTAACATTGTAGGAGTTCAGAATATGTCATCCCAAATATGCCACACTGGCATGTTGAGTATATTGATTTAAAGGTACTTGAGAATCAGCTGGTGCAAAAAAGACACTCTGACCTTCCCTTGCCCCCTGAAAGCAGAAGACAAATCTCCCATGGGAAAGGTAACCTCCCTGCACCAGAAGGGTAGAAGGCATCCTTACCACCAGAGATGGAATTTCAGGGCTGAGAATGTCATATATATAAAACAGAAAAAAGAAAAAAAAACCTGTTCATTCTCCACCAATTTTCTACCCCAAGCCCGACTCCTCTGTCTTATTAATTCTTTGCAAATTTATTTTCTTTTTCTGAAAGATATAAATGCTTTCTACCCCAGTCACTTCTTTGAGTCTTCTATTTTTATGGGGCTCCTGTACATAGGTACTAAAATTAAATTTTGTTTTTCTCCTATTAATCTGTCTTATGTCAATTTAATTACTAGACCAGTTGAAGATCCTAGAAGGGGAGAAGGAAAACTTTTCCCCCTACAACATGTGTACCTCATATACATATGGGAGATACCCAGGAAAAAAAATGAGCAAATTCCGGGAGGTAGCTTAGAATTCAGACTTCAAAACCGTCTAAAAGAGGAAAAGAGAGAGGGATGTAGGCTTCTTAGGGGAAAGTAAATGATTTTTAGGGAAGGTGACTGGTCCCTCAGAAGAATAGATGGGAGGTGTGATAGTCTGTGATCAGCTTATCTGGGTGTGGTGAGGACCTCTAGTCTCCTCTGCTGTGATAAGAGTTCACCCTCTCAAGCTGATGAAACTCCTAGGGAGGGGACTTATGACAATTGGTCCCTTTTGGAGGATCTGTCCTTAGGCAGATAAGGGGAGTTCAGAGAAAGCCTCTCCATGCATTTGCTGTTTTCCAAGTGCCTACAATTCACAACCATCAATATGCCTAAGAGGTGGCGTCTCTTGTCGTGGCACATTCTGCTTCCCTCCTCAGGCCACGTCTGGCCTTGTAGCCAAAGTCACGGGCTGAGCTTTATGTCAGACAGTGGGAACACCGAAGGATGTCAGCTGGCCTGACCAGACTTGTACCTTTCAAAGATCCTTCAAGCTAGTCCGAAGTCCTTTCTACTGAGTCTTACTGCCAGGCTCTTTAGGGGGACAAGGTGGAATTTCTAAAAACTAATAGAAAGTAAAGCCTCCATTGGTGACAGCCCTGTGAGGCAGCCAAGTGCCAGAACCCAGCAAGCCAACTGCCAAAGAGTGGTAGCTAATGCTTAGCGTTTAATCTTTGTCAGGCTTTATTTTAAGCTCAGTATACACATTAACTCATTAAATCTCCATGAAGTCTGTGAGGCAGCTGCTATTTTGGTCTGCATTTTTTACAGATGAGGTTTCTGAGACTTGGAGAATTTTAAGTAACTTTGCTAAAAGTCACAGAGCAAGTAGGGGAAACACGATTCACATTCCAGCAGGCGGGCTCCCAAACCAGCAATGATGGTAGAGGAGGTCCCGGTGTGCCACCCCAAATATGCCACTTTGGTATAAGGATTATTTTGAGCTGAAGGCAACTGAGAATCAAGAGATGCAGGAGGGGAGCCTGTGTGGTTCAGTCGGTTAAGCGTCATTTCAGCTCAGGTCATGACCTTGGGGATGTGGGATCCAGCCCCACGTTGGGCTCCGCACTGGGGATGGAGCCTGTTTAAGATTCGTTCTCTCCATCTCCCTCTGCCTCCCACCCCCCCTCTTCATTTCTAAAGAAAAAAGAGATGCAGGAACAATTCTCTGCCCTCCCCCAATCTGCCTAAAAGCTGGACATGTTTCCCTTTGTAAAGTCGTCTTCTGTACCAGGAAGAAGACAGCAACTCTTGCCACCAGAGATGAAAGAAGAGTTTCATGAACAAACCTTACTGAAATAACCCCTATTTTCCATTAGTTTCCCCATACATCTCCTACTCCCTTTGCCAATTTATCATTCCTTGAGTAATTTATCAGTCCTTTCCTTTGGTAAAAACCCTGAATCTAACCACATCTTCTTTCATGTGAACCCCCCTGCACATAAGTATGAATAAAAATTGCATGTCTTGGGGTGCTGGCTGGCTCAATCAGTTAAGCGTCCAATTCTGGGTTATGGCTCAGGTCATGATCTCTGGGTTGTGAGATTAAGCCCTGAATTGGGCTCCATGCTCAGTGGGGAGTCTGCTTGAGATGCTCTCCCTCTGCCCCTCACCTCAGGTCTCTCTCTCTCTCAAATAAATAAATACATCTTTTTAAAAATTGCGTGTCTTTTCTCTGTTAATATGTCTTTTGTCAGCTTAATTTGCAGGCCCTCAGGACTGAACCAAAAAACCTTTTTCTCCCTTACAATAGTAATGGGTGTCTAGATCACAGAGGGGTTGGGAGGTCACACATCCATGTGGCTGCCCTAAGATTCAGATACCCAGCTCCCTGGATCCCAAACCACCATGAAAGCACTTTGGTGACAGAAAACAACCACAAAGTAAAACATACATCAAACACAATTGGAAACAACCCCCGAAAGCCACTTGGATTCTGTATCACAGCCCTGGTTTCTCTTGTCATTGGTGGAGAGAGTTTCTGCAGAGATAAAAGAGAGTTCAGCCCCATCCCTGCACCCTCTAGAATCGTTTCCTTCCTATTGGGGCTGGGGCTCCTGGAACCCAGCACCCAAGACCCAAGCCCACACCAGGTTTTTTTTTTTTTTTTGGTTTGTTTTTTTGTTTTTTAAGGACGATATTAAGAGAGAGAGAAAGCATGCATGCGTTGGGGTGGGGGGGAGTGGTGGCAGAAGGAGAGAGAGAATCTTAAGCAGGCTCCATACTCAGCACAGAGCCTGACACAGGGCTCCATCTCCTGACCCTGAGATCATGACCTGAGCTGAAATCAAGGGTCAGATGCTTAACTGACTGAGCCGCCCAGGCGCCCCCACACCAGGCTTAGGAGGCCTCGTCTCTGGCACTCCTGGGGGCCTCGGGCTCTCCCCGAGTTGACCTCTTACTGTGCTCTCTGCCGGCCCGGGTGTGAATCCTTTTTGTCTTGCTTCCCTCTTGCCCCAAGGCACCTCTGATGGAAGCCAGCCCTGACGTTCTGGACCACAGTCACTGCTGATTCAGGATGTCAATGCCACCTACAGGTCACTACACAACAGTGACTGTCAGCAGGACTGGAGACAATGAGACCGGGGCCGTTCCTGAGTTCTAGGCCCGAGGCTTCAAAGCGTGTGGTTGCTAGACCTGCAGCAACAGATCACCTGGGAATGATCGGGAGTGTTCAGGCTCCTCCCTAGGTTTTCTGACTCAGAAACACAGGTGAGACCTTACAGTCTTGTTTAATAAGCCCCCCAAGGAGGCTGATTAATGCTACAGCAGAGCTTCTAAACCAGTTCAAACTCAGCAAACTGTGGCCCGTGGGTCAAATCCAGCCTGCCATCTGCTTGTGTCCCGCTTGCAAGCTAGAAAGTGGAGAACACCCTATGGAAAGTTTGAGACCTAGAAACTGGGTGTAGTTCCATTTGTTTAAAACTGTGCAAAGGGAGAGTCCCAAGGGACAAGGCTATCCACAGCCCATATTAGAGCCACACATGGGGTTGCCAGACTCAGGAGATAAACACAGGACACACAGTTGAATTTCGGATAAACAACAAATCACTTTTCCTTTTAGTGTAAGTATGTCCCATGCAATATTGAGAACACAGGATGATACAGATGTGAGTTTGATCTGCAGGTTTATGGGTTCTGTGCCTTTAGAACTTGACTTTTCTTAACCTCAGTGTCTTCATCCTTAAAATGGGAATAATAGCAAGTATCTTTCAAGGTCTTAGTGAATACTGACTATGAGTTCTAGGGTCACGGTAGCTCCCAAATAAACAAGAGTCATTGATAAAATGGAAGGAGCACAGAACCAAGTCATGAAGCTGTCTTGAATCTTGAAGCATGAGTTACAAGGGTTCATCCCTCGAGGGAGGGACACTCCAGGCTTGAAAGAACATGAGCAATGACACTGAAATGTTTAAAAAATAATAAAAATAGGGCACAAGCAAGAAAGGGTGAGCAGGTACATGAAATATTGGGCAGGAAGTGACAAAGACACATAGTGAAGAGAAAAGGTAGTGTCTTCAAGGGACAAAGTGAGGGGTTGCTTCCAAAAGGATGTTGCACCTAGAGCGAACCATGATACTTAAATTCACAAGACACCCTCCGTCCATTTTGTTTTATGAATGGGGCTGGTCATTTTCAGTGACTGAAAATCCTTTATTCCCCATGAGGAGCACCTCTTTCTTCCACGTTACCGTGGAAACCGAATCAATTTAAGGGAGATTTTTGCCCACTGACCCCCTGACTCCCACTCAGACTCCTGTTTCCTGTTGACCCAGAGGTCTACACTGTTGATTTATAAGTGTTAATCCAGTCTTGGTAACCAAAAAGCCATTCTAATACCCATAGTTCAGTGCCTGAGATCATGGGGGTGGCTGAGCTCTCTGAACTAGGGGCCTGGGGAGGAATCATATTTATTCTTTGGATAAAAGCCATCAGAGAAAGGTAAAATAACATAATTTGGGGCTTGTTTTATTTCCGCTACTACAAATTCTCTACTTTTATCCTTCTCTTGACTTCCTTTCCCACACGGCTGGTCTGTGGTCCTCACTCTCCAACCCTGCTCTCAGAATCCATTTGGGCCATTTGAGCCTTTGTGATGACTCTGGTTGCCATGGCAGCACCAGGAGTTGGGAGGACCTCGCTTTCCTTTCTGGTGTTTTGTATCTTTAAGGTCTGGCCAGTTCTCTCCTACAGGCTAACTAGCATTCCTGTCAAGGAGACACCTTTAATGTTCTGTCGATTCTTCCCCCACAGTTATGTCTGATTTCCCCTTCGGCTAGAGCTAGCCTTTGCAGAAGTTTCAGTTACCCAGTTAGGAACTTTAAAATTGGGGGGATTTAGGTTAACCGGCCGCAAACTGCTTGGCCAAATCTAACGAAGTGGTGTTGGCGCCACCTGGTGGTACTTGTGAGCTCTGATTTAAATGTCAACAGAGTCCCTCGGGTTCCGAACTAGTTGGGAGTTTATAGGGTAGAGGAAGCCGCTCCTGGTACGGTCCTGTTAGTGGGAACCTTGCTGCCTTTGATCTCATCGCTTGTGAGAAACTTACATAAGTGATCTGCAAACTTTGATACCGAAAGTGTGATCTTTCGACAATTACCTGCTCAGACGGCCTTTGTTTTCTGAAGCACAAACCAGAGATTTTTCAGATGAGGACACTGACGTAAGTAATCTCCCAGACCCACAGGTGCTCACTCTTCTTTTAAACCTGGGTTTGTCTGATGACAAAGTCCCGGCTCTTCCCAGGACACGGCATTGTCTCTTAATACGGTGCTGGGCCAAGGTGTGTGCTCACACAGTGGAAGAAGGGGTATGGGGGAAGCATAATTTCTGCACTTTCCAAGGAGGGAGGAGACAGACAGTTACCAACCATAATGTCTAGGCTTGTGCTTCTCAAACTGAATGTGCCTACAAATAGCCTGGGGGCTTTTGATAAATTGTAGATTCCTATCAGTAGTTCTGAAGACAGCCCTGACCTTCTGCATTTTTAACCAGCTCCCAGGTGAGGCTGACCTGCATGTCTACAGACCACACGTTAGGTCTAGAGGAGGCTTGAGCTATGTATGGTTTTGAGCAGGGAGCAATTTCACATACCCCCACCCCCCACACACCCCCACCCCTCCCCACCTGCCACCGAGGACATTTGGCAAAGCCTGGAGGCTTTTTGGTGTCTCTATTGGGGTGAGGGGACCGTGCTACCGGCATTCGTAAATAGAGGCTGGGGTGTTGCTAGCACCCTCTGATACCACGGCAGCCTTCACCACAGAGAATTACTTGCCCAAATGTCAATTGTGCATAGGCTGGGAAGTCCTGCCCTGAATCTAGAATCTAGTCTTGTGTGAGGGGCCCGTGGGCTGTGAGCAGCTGAGGTCCCCTCACCTGGAGGGGGTTTGCTGGGAAATTGGTATGAACTGGTTTCTTTTGTTTCTGAAAAGAAACAATTCAGTTCTAGAAAGCCCCCGCGCATATTTCAGAAGCAAATGAAGGGTGAGTGAGTCCAGCGGGGCCTTGCAAGTATGAGCCATGATTAGGAGTGTCTTCATTCAGTCAAGGACTTAGCCACACAAAATCAATGAGCCCAGTGGTCTGGGAGGTGCTTTCCTTCCCAGCTCCGGTAGAACCAAAACAACAACAATGAAAAGAAATGTCTTCCCAATGTGATTTATCCGCCAGGAGCTCTTGATGATAAAATTATTACCGTAAACCTAGACTAGGGGGTCAGCAAACTTTTTCTGTAAAGGGTTGGATAGTAAACATTTTAGGCTTTGCAGGTTATATGGTCTACGTCACAAATACTCAACTCTGCCAGTATAGCCCAGAAGCACCCAGAGACCATGGTAAAGAAATGGGGAGGCTGCATTCATTTCAGAAGTACTTTATTTACAGAAATAGCCCCATGTCAGATGGCTGGAGGCTGTAGTTTGATGATCTCTGGTCTAGGCGCTCAAGGGAATCGGATCAGCTTTAGATCCTATGTTAGCTGTGACATAAGCAAGTGCATTTTTATCTGCTCTCCTTTGGTTTTATGGGCGTGAGGAGAGGGTGGCTAATGCTGTAAAACAGGCAACAAAACCAAAATGGTTTCGTGCCTGACCTCATCACTGTGGAAACAACCAATGGCACAATCCCATAATTCTAGTATCTCCCTCTGACAATGCAGGTTCTCGAATTTATCACCAAACATTAATGAGCCAAATGTGCTTAGCATTACTGGGAGCTGCAGGGAACCCAAAAAAGGAAAGTCACAGTCCACTGTTCTTAAGCATTTTGTTGTTGTTGTTGTTATTATGGTAATAAGACATAAACACATAATCACAGCAAATTCAAACACCCATAGATAGATAATTTATTAAAAGCGCATGTGACACTTGGTTAGGCATTTGGGAAAAATGGAACCTGCATACTTTCTTCTGTTACCAAAATAAATTCCAGTTGGTTCCAATACTTAAATGTAAACAAAGTGAAATCATTGGTGCTAGAAGTAAACACAGGATGGGTATACATTGTTTATAATCGTGGAGTTGGGAGAAATTGTCTATTGAGAACGTGAACTCAGAATCCACAAGGAAAAGATCACATAAGGATAAAAAGCAGCTATGTGAGAAAGTCTGCCATAAACAAGATCAAAAAGAACTGGGTAATTATTTTAATACAAAGGGTGAATTACTCAACTTTGTGAACTCATAAAAATCAATAGGAAATGATTAATACCATAACAGAAAAGTCATAATTTATCGAAGGACACATTGCCAGTTAATCTTATGCATCTGAGTAGATGTGACGAAAATAAAGAAAAAGAAATCATGACCAAAATCAATTGAGATTCATCACCTGGGGAGAGGTCAGCTGCAGTCTTGGCTCCTTGGATCGCATGCCCTCCTGCTGCTCCTGAGGATGGCCATCAGCCCCTCCAGGCTCAGCTGGGCCCAGCCTTGAGTCATTCTGGCCCAGGAGTCAGATGAGAGACTGAAGAAGCCTCTGGATGATCCCAGCTCCCAGCTATTCAAGTCACTCCCAGCCTTTCGGGTCTCCCAGCTGAGTCCCCAGACGTCAGGGAGCAGAGACAAGCCTGTGGCCACTGTGCACTTTCTGGAATCCTTACCCACAGACACGATGAGCACAAAAAAGCCCGGATGGTTCTATGCCACCTACGAATTTTGGCTGGTTGGTTAGATAGCAGCAGGAAACACCGTGCACCGAAAACAAGGCAGCCAGGGGTTGACGCAGGAGGGAAGCCGTACTGGGAACGGTCTTGGAGACCAAACAGAACACAGCAGCTCACCCAGCTATGACCCAGTATGACAAGCTTAGATGCTGGATTCCAGAGCAGGCACGGAAATAGATAAGGCTGAGAGCAGGAGCACCAGCCCCAGGCACCGGCAGTTAGGTGGTTGTCCAGGGCCAACCACCTCTCATCAAGGTCGGAGTCAATCCTGGGACATAGATTCATCCAGGAAGAATATTCGTCCCTCAGGGTGAAGCAACAGGATCTGGAGAACAAGCAGGGCAGGCTCTGTTTTCCTTGGCAGGTGGCAAAGAGGACTCGATGAATGGGTGTTAGAGGAAGTGAGTAGAGCGGTAGAGCGGGCAAGCCGGGCAGGGAAAGGACAGCCGAGGGCAGGAGAGAGGGCAAGCTGGCCGCCTAGAAGTCAGGAAGCTGATCCCCAGAGTGAGCGGAGGACACAGGCCAGCTCCGTGCTGCTGGGGGACGTAGCGGGGGTGATCACACCTTCCCTGAGCCTCTTTTCTCCAGTTAGAATGCTTCTCCTTTCCTACTTAGCAACCTTAAAACAAACTCCAAACACCTTAGCAAAGTTGACCCCATAGACCTGGCCCCTGCCTAACTTCTCTCCCCCTCCGCGCTGCCTCCGCCCCAGAATCCTCTCCGTTCGTCAGGCTCACATGTTTGGACCTGCCCGGCCACCTTCCCTCTCTGGCATGCTCAGCCTCCACCACTGGCTCCTGGTCATCCTTCGGGTCCGAGTGAAAGTTTTTCCCTCCCGGAAGCTCTCTCTGGCCATCCTACTGAAAGGATTAAATCTTTGAATCACTTTCTGTTTTGTTTTATTTTTCTTTATTGTACTTATAAGCATCAAACTCGTCTTGAATATTGTCTTTCCTCCCTCCCCGGAATCGAAGTGACTCCTGAGGGCTGGGACTTTTCCTGTCTTGGTTAATATTGTATTTGCATGACCTCGAATAGTGCTTACCATTTAGTAAGTGCTCAGTAAATGTATGTTGAGTATAAATAAGTAAAAATCCTTTTGAGACAAACTCCTATCCATGCTTCAAAACCCTGCTCAAGCTGAACACCCTGCAAAGCCTTCCCCGAAAAATATGCTGATACTTTGTGGGGCAGCTTCTAAACCAAACACCCACCGTCATTCATTTGCCAAGCTCTCCTGCATGCCCCACTTTTCAGGTCTCCCAATGGGCTAAGTTGGTGAACATGGGCTCTGTAGCTCAAGCAGCCAGCTGGATCTGGCATCAGAAGGGGTTCTCACAGAGAATGAGGAGTGCGGGCAGCTTCCAAAGCCAGACTCCCTGGGCTCCCATCCCAGCAGACCTTGTTGTGTGACTTTGGAAAATATTTTTGGCCTTTCCGGGCCTCTATTTCCTCATTGTGTAACGAAGATCACAATAATTAGCCATAGAGGGTTGTGATGAGGCACACGGGGTGCCTGGCACGTAGCAAACATGCACAGGAGTTAAGTGACTTTATATTGAACAGTTGCATCTTTGGCATGAATCTGTACCGCATAAATACACACAACAGAATCGAGGAAATAAGCAAATTGAGAGAACACTGTGGAAATACAACGATCATCTCTGTAATGATACAGAGAAGGACCCCACCCCCAGATGAACCGGTTCACACCAGCTCTACGTGGGGGCTCCACGGGGACCCGTCCACAGCCCGAGGTTCCCTATGACCGAGCACACGCGGGACTCCTCCCCACACGGGGATGAAATCAGACGCCCCAAGGGCCTGCCGGCTCCCACCACAGAAGACACGTGAAATCCATCTCCAGCTCACCGCACAAAACCATCACACAAGCTCACCATTTCTTACTCAGAAAAGATTTAGTATGTCTTAGTTCCCAAGAGCCACCCCACTGTCTTAGAGCACACAGAGCATGGAGCCCCATAAAGATACAGGGGCGGCCAGGCCTTCCTGTCGTGGGGGGGGGTGCCGATCACTGAGGGGCAGCCCTGCTCCCTGGACCTCCCGCCACACACACAGGAGATGGTCCATCCCTCCGCAGGTTAGAGGACTGGCTCTTGACACGCACTAGAGAGTATGGCAGGGTCCGCGCTGACCCCGAGCAGCCAAACATCTCCTGGGAGGCGTAGGTCACATACACAAAGCCGTCGTCATCCTTGTAGTCTCTGTAGACTTCTGCCATGGTCACACTCATGCTGACCAGGCTCCTGTTGTTCACCAGCAAGTAAAAGGCTTCGGTGGCCCCGAGCACCAGGCGGCTCCTGGGTGGGGAGGAGGGAGGGGCAGGAAGGGAAAACTTCAACTGGGCAGGGAATGGGCCCCTGACCCAAGGCCTGACTCACCTCTGTCCGCTGCAAACATGTTGACCCAAGGAGCCCACCTCCCCGCTCGAGCGCATTGTCCTCAAACACGACAAGTCCCCAGGAGGGCCTGTTGAAAGCAGATGCCTGCACTCCACACACAGAGATTCTTTTAAAGATTTTATGTATTTATTTAATGGAGAGAGAGAGAGTGTGTGTACAAGCAGGGGAAGGGGCAGAGAGACAAGCGGACTTCCTGCTGAGCACAGAGCCTGACATGGGGCTCGATCTCAGGACCCTGAGATCATGACCTGAGCCAAAGTCAGATGCTTAGCTTAACCAACTGAGCCCCCCAGGCGCTCCTCAACACCCAGGGATTCTGATTCAGCTTGCCTTGGAAGCATCCCACAGGGCTGCAGAGTCATGATGCTCAGGAAGACTGAATAGCTCCCTACTCCTTCCCTGTAGATTTAAAATACCTTAAGTCCTCCCCGTTGGACCAAAAGGGCGAGGCCATCCTATCATTAACTAGGAGACATACCAACACAAAAATGCTACGCTAATAAGCCCCTTTTTGCTCTGAAACTCAAGGTATGTACATCCACAGACATACAAAGGTGATTCCAGTATCTCCCAGCAGCTCACTGTTCAACAGCCTTGGGATGACATTTTGGAAGGTTGTTTCTCTTTCTTTCTTTCCTTCTTTTCTCCTTCCTTCTTTTTCTTTCTTTTCTTTCTTTCTCTCTCTCTCTCTCTTTTCTCTTTCTCTCTTTCTTTCTTTTGCTCCTGAGCAATGGGTAGCTGCTCTTTCCTCCCCCTGCCATCCCTCCTCCCATCTCAAGGAGATGGAGAAGCAGCAAAGTTCAATTGGACATGCTGTGAATGTCAAGGTCAATCTGAGGCCTGACTCCTCCTGGGGTGGAGGACAACATGGCCATGTGGACCCCCAGGTAAGGACTCTTTCCCTGCAGCACACTTCCATTTGCTCTGCTTGGAGAGACAGGCCTAGCCTGCCCACTCTGGTCTCAGAGCTTTGAACTTTCAGGTGAGCTAGGTCTGTGTGGCTGTGGGACACACGTGGCTGGAAATCGATTAATTTTACAACCAGATAATCCCTCCCAAAATAACCCCAAAGATTTTGGCTTTGACAATTGCATGGGTGTTTTGGGGTAAAAGAAGTGCTCTACAATGGGAGTGGGTGGAGCTGAGAACAAGTGCGTGGCCTTCAGCTTTGTAGGGAACTCTGTTCCCAGAGTCTGCATGCCCACGTCCTATCTTTTGCCACGCTCTTCTTTCCTCCTTTCTTTCCTCCTTTCTTTCTTTCTTTTCTTTCTTTTCTTTCTTTCTTTTCTTTTCTTTTTCTTTCTTTCTTTCTTTCTTCCCTCCTTCCTTCCTTCCTTCCTTTCTTTCCTTTCCTTTTCTTTCTCTTTCTTTCTTTCTCTCTCTCTCTCTTTCCTTCTTTCTTTTTCTTTCTTTAAGACTTATTTATATATTTGAGAGAGAGAGAGAGCATAAGCTGGAGGGGCAGAGGGAGAGAGAGAGAAAATCCCTAAGCCGACCCTGCATCGAGCATGGAGCCCAGCACAGTGCTCGATCTCACAACCCTGAGATCACAGAGCTGAAACCAAGAGTTGGACACTTAACCGACGGCACCACTCAGCTGGCCTGCCATGCTCTCTTTCAATGAGGGTTTTGGCATTCCCTGGAGAAGGAGGCTGTGGGCAGGGATTTTTGTCTATTCTGTTCACTGCTGTAAAGACAGAGTCTAGAAAGAACAGAGAACATAACTGATGCTCAATAAACATCCTGGAGTATCAAATGTTGGGATGGGGAGGAGATCAGGGCTGATGGAAAAGAGAGGATGACCCCTGGCTGGGAAGGAGAGACAGAATGGCTCTCAGGACTCCAAGGGTTGTTTCCGAGGGAGGTAGGGGAAGGGGTATAACCCTAACGCTCACGTTCCCTTAGCCACCTCCATGTCACTCTGGGCCAACATAAGCTTCCCTGAGGAGAGAAAATTGGGATGTTCTTAAATAACTCGTAAAGAGAAACAGAACAGAGACAGACACACACTCATAATGAATTCTTGAGGAAACAAGCAGCTATGCAACTCACAAGGGCTGGCCTCTCCAGACTTTCCAACCCCTATGAAGAATTATCCCCCAGGGGTTACATTCACATTACTCCCAAATCATTTTTATTGAAGCCATGTGTCAGGTGACACTACTTAACCCTGTTAAGCTTTAAAAATAGCTGCATTTTCTTTGCTGTGCCTTAACCCAAGGGAGGAGCATGTTTGGGGATGCCCTCCCCAGTCCTCCCTCCCAGGGCCTGAGCAGTGCAGGGGGCATTTGCCTTTTGAAGAGGTCCCCACTGCCCCAAGTGCACACACACTTTAAAGGTACCGTGTCTCTCCCGGGAAAATGCAGACTGGGTTTTAAGCAGCATGTGGAAAAAAGGATCTTCTGGACTAGTTCCAGAGCCAAGACGACCTCTGAAACTTCTTAGAAAAGTTGGCAGCTCTTATTCTCTTTAAACTTGTTATCTGTGGGTTCTCCCACCTGTTTAAGTTAGATTAATTCTCAGAGCATCTTTTCTGGGCACTACAGAATCTGAAAGGTGAGTCACAAAGGAAATCTTTTCTCTCTCTTCCAGAATGCCCCCATCCTCAAAACCAAACCAACTAACAAAGCAAATGGAAAAAAGCCCAGCACACTCCCCGACGTGCACTTTGTCACCTACCGGATGATGCTGAGGAACTGGGTCATGGTCAGCTCCTGCGGGACCAGGAACTTGGTCTTGTCCAGCGGAGGCAGGAACTTCTCCCTGGAGTAGCGCTCCACTATCACCTGTCAAGAGGGTCAGTCCCTAAGAATGTGACTCCGAGCTCTCAGTATCTTAGAAATTTAGAATGGGGGGGGGTTCCCTTTCTTATTTTATTTTTCAAGGAACAGGGTATACTCCTTTTCTTCTTTTTTTAAGATTTTATTTATTTATTTGACAGAGAAAGACACAGCGAGAGAGGGAACACAAGCAGGGGGAGTGGGAGAGGGAGAAGCAGGCTTCCCGCAGAGCAGGGAGCCAGATGCGGGGCTCTATCCCAGGACCCTGGAATCATGACCTGAGCCGAAGGCAGACGCTTAATAACTGAGCCACACAGGCGCCCCAGGGTATACTCCTTTTCAAAAAAGCACAATGAAGTCTTACCGGGATCTTGTTTGGGAACTTTGCCCGGATTCCAGCAACTTCCTCTTGTCTGGTTGCTGTGAATATTTCAAAGACAAAGGAGTAAGTAAACAGCAAGAGAAGTCTGTATCTTCTTCCCTCTCTCAGGCAATCCAGACAGCTCCCTTGGAATTTTACCTAAACTCTTCCTCTGCTTGAAGGGTCTGAGGCTTTGGGTTTTCTGTGGAGTCTGCATTTTGCTCCACAGCTGTGTCTGTGTCTGACTTAAAAAAAAAAAAAAAAAAAAATCCCACAACCGGGACCTAACTCATTCCTCAGCTGCTTCCAAACCATCCGCAGG